ATACTACTACCTGGTATTAGCAATTTTCCCTCCCCCTCGTAGTTTTTCGCTTTCGATGAAAAGTGTCGCCGAGTGCAATTTAACGTATTCGTATTTTCGAGCTTTTTCCGAACGAATCGTTGTTATCGATTTGGAATACAAAGAGGACATCGAACTGTTTGCACAATTTATATATCACACAAAGATCTTTTCATATAATATCTTTATTGATTTTGATCATTTAAACGTTTTAATAGTATTATTATTATCATTTTCTACAATTTTTTATTCATCCAACAATAGAATTTTTAACATCTTAATTGGTAAGTTTTAGTTAAAGAAATTGTTGTATAATTGAATATACATTCTTGCCACGATTGGGAGCATTTATTTTTAATGTTAGATTAAGGGGTGATAGTTATGGTAATTTTTCAAAAAATCATCAAGCTTTTTTACCGCCCCTCTGGAGTCAACAACACCCTGTTTTTGTTTTTCCGAACGGTTCACCTATTTATTTTACTAATAGTGTTTGATTCCAGTTATTTGACGAGAATTAGTAATCCAACATGTGTGTGTAGCTAGACTGTTGATTGTACTAAATATATAATAAATAATAAATATAATAATAAAGCATTTTGTGTGTGATAGTGAACCATGCACAACACTGATGGTTTTACTCTATGAAATATCAATGATTTATATTTAGAGAAAAATTGATTTATTTATATTATTAAATATAATAATTAATATTTATTATGAAACGAATATTATATATTTTGATAAATAACATTATAAGAATCTTTACAAGAGAGGATACACGATGATAGGTAATATTATACTTAAACAAACAAACAAAATATTCAGCGAATCACATCGCTGCACATTTTCATTTCATTTCATTTCTCGATTCCGTTTCGTGGACGCATGTGAACGATCCCATAAACAAATCTCAAAACGTTTTTTGGACCGTTGAAAAATACGAAAAAGTACCTGTCGAGTTCGCGTATTTCGTCGGTCAATCGTTAAATAACTATCGAAAATGGAGCATGAGCGTATCATCGGTGGCATGCTTCGTTACTACGATTTTTTGTCAATGTATTAATGTAGATAGAATAAATTTGTGAATTTCATTTCTCCAAATGCCAACGTCATTTCCATAACTGTACTCTTTATTTAATATACTAACAATAGGTTGCATATTCTGCTTTTGGTTATATTGTTATTTTCTATTTATCGTATTCAAATTAATAACCAGTTTTCACTTTTTTTTTTTATCAACATTTTAATTAGAGGGAAAAAGACAGTCAATTCAAATTTTCATTCGTTTTCGTATGACGTAGGATATCGTTTGGTAGAAATAATTCAATAAATAAATATAACACCATTTCAAATTTATTTACATTTATAGGATTGACCAAAAATCAATTATACTTTATTTTTTTTACGATAATAAAAATAAATTCATTTGAAAGATATCGGAGAGAAAAATAATTCGGTCGTTAAAATATTATAATAAGTATCTACATTTAAAACTATTATGCATATTATATCGTATAATTTGTTCTCATCGTATATTTAATTATGTCATTGTATGCATCGTAAAAGACGTTATACTAGAGTTAAAACAAAGAGACGAAAAAAGAAAATAAGAAAAAAAATATCAAAAGAAGAAAAATAAAGCAGTTGTTTGAAGATCAACGTAAAGTTTGTTGGGAAACGAAAGGGGGAACATAATGAAAGCTCTTCGTTCTAATTTCGGAGGGCAAGGAAATCTTTTGAGCGTTATTTGGCGCACCGTAAACAGAGGGTCGCATAATAAAGGGTTACCCTAACCAATTTCAGCCTCTCTTCTTCGTGTACTTTACTAGCATTGGCCTCGTTTTCTTTTTTATCATTTTCTCCATCGTAATTTTACTACTATTGTATAGATACATATGTATATTTATTGTATTTTAAAAGGGATTGAATTCTTTCATGCGATTTGGAACACCGAGTCACGTTTGTTAATTCTCCAAGGAGTCGTTTGCTTTCCAGTCAAAGTTATTTGCTTCCTGGAAAACCATTAGATATCTTAACGGTTAGTGCAGCCAAGCTTGAGATTTTTAAACCATCAAAGAATACCCAACACGTCTGCTATGTATTTTTCCTTCAAACAATGAACTTTTCTTCGACGAATAAAGATTACTCGAATTCTCTTAATACGTATTTGTTATTATCATTTAGAAATTTTCTTTTAACAGAGACATCTATTATTGATTGAATGTTTCGATGTGACCTCTCAACATTATCGTTTTCTCTTTGCTCGGAAACTTTCAATTTGTTTACGATGGAAGTAATTGTCAGGACGTAGGAGAGTGAACATTCTACCAGACCGATAATGGTAAACTTTAACTTTCCTTTCTGTGGTACCTTTCAATATAATTGCTTGAATATATTTTTCAATATATATAATATTTAGTTTTAATTACAACGCGTACCTGTTGCTCGTATGTATGCGTGTCTATGCGTATCTATGCGTACGTTTACGTGTATATGCGTTAATTATCTCGAAAATCCAATAATTATATATATATATTTATTTTTCCATCCAAGTGCAGGTGAAAATTTGCAATTTACATTAAAAGTCATTTCATATATATGTATATATGTATCACTCTTTATTGTTAGTTAAAATATTTAATTAATTTATCGTTAAAACGACATGCTTTACGTGTAACTTATATTTAACATCAATTTATTTATTTTCGTTAACATTTATATTTTCAACAATTTTGAGAAACAATTTATTGCTAATTATTATTATTATTATTATTATTATTTTATTATTTTTAGACGATTGAAACAAAATGGTTCTCGCTTACATTTGCGTGTACACGGTTATTTGTAATCAATTGTACGAACTTTTTTATCTCCTTTGTTTTTTCTATTTAAAAAACAAAAAAAAAGGAAATATAAAAGGAAAAAGGAAAAAAAGAAGGAACCATGATTCATGCGCGTTTACATGATTCATACCGCGGCTATAAAATTTCTCTTGGAAATTTACAAACGTAGAATAAAACACTGCAAACGTCGTCCTTGTTCAAGATAACCAACCTGTATATATATATGTACTCGTAAAAAGTAACTTCTGTCTGTTAGTCGTATTTTTCTTCTCATTCATCACGTTCGAATAAAAACTCGTTTTACACGTATACCTGTATGAGTACTATACTATATATACATATATATATTTTAGTATTTATCGACAAAGATTTTAAAGGGATATCGTATATAAATTTTCTTTGAATAAGGGGTGGAGAGTATTGTACGAGGTAAAGATTGAAATTAAAAAGTAGAACCAAAGTAGTAAGTACCACGCTGACGTGGAACTTTTCTAAGACGTAATTATTCGTTGCTAAGTCCTTTATAATAAAGACAAACGAGCACCCTTTCCTTTCCTTCCACCCTTCTACCCTTCCTTCCTTCCTTCCTTGTTTGCTTTTACTCTCTCTCTCTCTCTCTCTCTCTCTCCTTCTCTTTCTCTTTCTCGTTTAAAGACACGGATGCTTTGAAGATATAGGACCAGTAACGTTTCTGAAATCACACCGGTTGTTTAACGTCTAACGATTCTTTAACTTTTCTCCACGTTCAACTTTGAGACTGTGAATATCGCGTTAAGCGTCCTTGGTTAATCGCCAACGGCTTGTTTCCAAACTACGAAAAGATCTTTATTTTACTTGATGATCTTCATATCGGAAAGTTAACTCTTAACAACTTCATTTTAACTTCAATCTGCATTTCATTTTATTTTTCCTATGAAAATGATTAAAGAGTTATCCCTGTGATAAAATATTTGTAATTAACGTATTTTATTTGAATTATATAATATTTATTATATTTTTCATTTCCCATTTTTTTACACACTTTTATATTACGCTTATTTGTATTTAAAATTTGAAATATTAAATATTCGATCTTACATTTTTTTTTGTTACGGTTCGTTACGATAGTTATTTCTAATTCATTTGTTTTAATATTCATAATTTTGTAAAAGTTAATTTTTTTCGTAAATATTTCGCGTATCAAAATTCAATATTATTTAATTACAATAAGGTTAGAGATTATTTTCTACGCGTGTTCTCAAGGTTTATATTTTTCGAGAGATTATTTAATATATTGAGAGTATTATGTATTTCGATATATACCGGAATATAATTATTTCTAAAGGTTCTTCTCTTCTTCTTATGTTACGTTTATCCACACCGCATGCAGGTGCACAGTCAAGATACATATGTACAAAATGTGTACATAGTTATGTACGCATCTACGATGATACGTATGTACCATAAAGGGAATAAGATATTTGAATTCAAATAGGCGTTGTAGGACACGAGGACTTGTCAGGGAGACGGAAGATTCGATTTACATTATATTTACATTGCAATAACGTAGCTCAACGTTTCATATATAAATGTGTGTACATGTATATAATATATAGAGAAGGATGGAGAGAAAAAAAAAAGAATGGAATCACCATGAAATCTCAATATGATTTCAAATCTGCAACAGTTATATTTCGAAAATATTGATTACCCTTTATTACATGAAATATTTTTGCACATCCGCGATTTTATATTATATTTTTATTTATCATATTTTATCCCTCTCTGTGTAATCCTGTGTGTGCGTGTAATTAAATTTATTTTCCCTAAATTGAGCGATATTTGATCGAATCCTGTGTGTATCTCTGAAAATGATTGATATTTATTTAATGATTGATGTGTGTTTTTATTTATCAGATTATAAAAATGTGTATACGGGGTAATGAACGAAAAATTTAAAGTAATAAATCTTTTTTTTATATATATAGATAAAATTAACTATGACAGAAATCGGAATGAGAAATTATGTTATATTATGTTAATGAGTTTATTTAAGAGAGAAAGTGTCAAGTAATATATTAAGATGATAAATAACCTAGTCAGAGTTATATCAAGAAAACTTGGAGGAGTTAGTAATGTGACTCACGTATTTTGTTTCAGGTATCTTGGGTTCGGAGACGTGGAGAAGAATATCATTTACTTACCATCGGTCTTGACACGTATGCGAGTGACTCGAGATTTTCATTGGCTTTTGAAGATCCGAATGATTGGCGATTATTATTACGTTCGGCAACTGAACGGGATGCAGGACTTTACGAGTGTCAAATTAGTTCACATCCGCCATTAATTAGAATGGTTCATCTAACGGTATCCGGTGAGTCTCGTTTTTTTTCTTTATTTCAATTAATATTTTTTTTCTTTTCTTTTTTTCATGATGTATACAATACGTCAGTTTTCAAATTTATTAGATTGAATTTTTATAACGTATAAACTAACGCACACTAACGCAAAAACAAACTTCAATTTGATTGAATGTACCCTCGTTATAGTTCGGTACGAAGATTCTTCAAGATTTAGACGTTCAGAGAGGTTTAAGATCAAAGATTGTAAATTTTTAAAGTAAACGCATCGTGCGTCATAAAGAACGAACAAATCTATTTAAAACGATGTCACACACACTATTTTAACGACTATACTTGTGTCAGCCAATCTCTTCTCAGATTATTGAACAAATTTTCAACGCTTCCTAGATGAAAAATCTCTTTAGTTTGATTTTTTAATCAAATGAAAGGAAAAATGTAGATTGAAGGAAAGTGGTGCGAAAAAAAAATTGAGAAAGTAAATAAAAGTAGACGTTGGTAAGTAAGTTTTTGAAAACAAGGTGTACACCAAGATAAGTTGTTTGATCGAAAATACTTATACATGGTCGGAGACGACGAAGTCAATTTCTCAAAGTGACACACAATAGGTGGGGGATAGTAAGAGAGAGAGAGAGATGTTAGAAATGGTATGGATGATCGAGAGTGGTGTTGGGAAAAGGGTTACATCCATTATTCTCTTAATCTCTCTTTGTAAAGGGAGTCTCCCGTAAAGTTACTTGGTCGAGATACATAATCCGCGAGTGAGTAAGTGAGTGAGTAAGTCAGTGAGTAAGTCAGTGAGTAAGTCAGTGAGTGAGTGAGTGAGTGAACGAATAAAGGTACAAGCGCGTGCGCGTTTTCGTTGGAGCATAAATCACGAAAGGTAGCGCGTCGTTAATGTCCGTCCTTGTTGTTGGCATAATGGCGACTTAGCCCATCGTAACGATGTCCTCCTCGTGCTACTCTCATTTTATACCGCTTTAGAATCAGCTAGCTAGCTAGCAAGCAAGCAAGCAAGCTTGCTAGGTACTTACCAACGTCCCTTAATTGAACCCACGGAACCTCCTCTTTTTGGATCCTTCATTTTGTCCATTCTTTCATTCGGCACATAATCGATCCCGCCCTTGACTAACTTTTTACTTAGAGATTTCTTTCGGTATCCTTCTCGCACGATTAACCTTGTAAACGATCAGCGAATTTAACGATTTACCTTACCCAACCTTACCTTAACTAACTCACACGGTTTCTTTACTTTCATACTACCCTTTCTTTTATTCCATTTCCATCGTTCGGATCATCAGGAAAAAAACAAGTCCCTCGATAGTTTATCTACGAGTAGTTAAACTCAAAAACGTATCTATTAACTACTGCTAAAGGGTAATTTGCAGTTTTAGTTTCGAGTAAGTGCTCGTAAATTCTCTTTATTTCATTTAGTCTATTTTCTACTCGATAGTCCTTGGATATTCAAATGAGAGATAACTGTTCTTCGTTAAAATTATGTGTTATATATATAGATACTTCATATGATATATATATATATATATATATATATATATATAAAGAGAGAGAATATTTGCTATGCTCGACCAATCGAAAATGAATATCGCGTTGTTCTTCTCTCTCTCTCTCTCTCTCTCTCTCTCTTTTTCCATCGATGAAATCGATTTAATCATCGCATTGTTTTGTGCTTTTTATCGTATGATGTTCCAATTAGATTATTCCAGGAGAACTTGGGTGCACGAAGAGCAGCATTACTAATGAAACCTAACTATCTATGAAATTTCATAACGGAATACCTATCGCATAAGATGATTTAATTAATGAACTTTTTGTTAACGAATCAATCGATCTTTGATATCTTTGAAGAGAAAATTGCGAAAAGAGTCGAATGACGATAATAATAATAATAATAATAATAAAGTTTCGGTAAAAGTGAATAAACGAGTCATATTTTAATCAGACATTTATCATGATTCATACTTGATAAAAATGTTGGATTCGTTCTTACTGCAGGTTGGTAATAACGCATGTTTAAATTACCGGAAACGTTAGTTCGGTTAATAATTCCTTAGAAAATTTCTTTTAGAATTTTAACGAGGTAGTTGTGTGTGTTCCGACATTATTACTCTTAATAATTCATTCCCTCTTTCTCCCTTTCTCTCTTTCTCACTTGGTACGAGAGAGAAAGGTATTACGAACGAATGAAATAATGCTACCCGCGCAATATGTCGCGAAGGGGAAAGTTGCTTCTATTTAGCCTTCAACGATCTACTTTATTACAAACTCTACCGGCACACTTATAACTTAATGACATGATTGTACCTACGTTACTCGACATATATACCTATCTAAATCTGTATACGTTAACGTGTAGTGGGGTATATATACGAGCCATTTATAAAGCGTACTACAATCATCCAATTTATTCCCCACTGGGGTAAAATCCTTGATTTTCTCTCTAATATGCACACACCATTCATATCGTTTCCTGCTATAAATCCAACATTTAGTAACCAGATGGTTTGAGTAAAGAAACATTTGTTTACGATTTGTTCAATCGATTCGATTCGATAATTACGTGGGTGGATTGATAAGTTTGTTTTTTTTTTAGTCAAATGTAGAAAGAATCTATTTTTTTTTCGGTCGAAATAATTTTTATTAAAAGAAAAAAAAAGGCATAAAAATCTTTCGTTCAGGCTCAAAATATTTCAATCCATATTCACGTATTTTTTTTTCATTAAACTGTGGATTTTTATTGACGATAAATATGCAAATTTACACAATATATATATATTAAAAGATATATAATTTATATTAATAAGATATTAATTTTTAAGTAAAACAAAAATTCGAGAGCCAAAAAGAAAAATATTTATTTTTACAAAAATTTAATCAACAATTAGTTAAGACTGCGAATTATTTTTTTTTTGGACCTTTCATTTATTTTTGTAAAATTAGTAATGCTTGTATTTCTTTTTTACGCTCGAATTTTTTTTTTGATTAAAGATTAATATCTAAAACGTAAACGTGACTCCTTCAATTAAGTCTACAAGGTGGTGTTTTGTCGTCATACCTAAAACGGAAGGTCGAGAGTGTAACTAGAGCGAAAACCATTACCTATCGTGTCTTCCGGCTTTGCCGACGTTTTATCGTCGCGAACACTAACTGACTATTAGTTCCCTCTTTTCACTTTAACTCGAATTCCTGTACTTATCTGGGCGTGTCCATTATTTTATCTTAAGAATAGAATTAACCCTTTTTACGTAAGAGTATATCGTAAGAAAGTTTTCACCGACCCTTTATCTTTTCTTTCTTCTTTTCGTTGTTTTTCCTTTTTTTTCACGGGATGTAATTTTTCAATAAATTAAACACAAAGATACGCGCGCGAAAAATTTATAAAGCAAAATTGTATAAAATAAATTAATTGTTTCGAAAATAAATTCATCTATATTGTTTTATTGGCTGATTACTAAAGTCGACATTTTTAATAGAAAAATAATAATAGTAGCTATTAAACATTAAAAAAAACATTATTCGAAACAATTTCCTCTTAATTTCAAATAAATAACAAATGTTCATCTCATCAGCATTGAAAATCGTATTATTTTTCAAAAATAAAATAGAACGTAGGATTAGAAAGTTTTCGTATTCGAGAAGTTCGACATTTATAATTCATAGGGTTATTCGAATAATCGACAGAACATCGAGTTCGTTTCGTAATATCGCTCGACGTCGCTTTCGCGAAACTTTACAAATCATTGAATACGGATAACCTTCTATATGCATAAGTTGCGAAAAGGTAAGCTTATGTTGGATGCGAAGTACAATGGAGTTTAGTAATAGTAACCATAGTCTCATTCTCTATTGGTAAGTTATACGAAAGGGACGTATATAGTTGTATCTCGGTTTCGATTTAAGTAATCTAGATTCTTCGTATTCATAGAGATACAAATAGCATAAGATAGTAGAACGTCGTAATAATAAACTAACAGCAGTAGTAGTAGTAGTAGTGGTAATACAAATTTCTCTCACTAATATCGGCTAATTAGTCGCTTTAGAAAATATGATGCTTGTTAAGAAAGAGCTTGAAATTTCACGTGTTTTTTTTCTCTCTTTTTCTCTGTCTTACCTTTAAAATCTCTGATTACGATATTGTGATGTGTGACTGTGTGGTAGATGTTTTTTATTTTTTATTTTTATTTTACCGTATTCATGACTGTACGAGCTGTGACGGGTTTCATTTGAGAGAAGAGTATTTCACATGGCTAACAATGTGAAACGAAATAGTGGAAGATTCATGTACATATACATATATACGTTTATATACGTACATATATATATATCTATATATATATAGATAAAGAAGGAGAACAAAAGGGAAAAGAAAAGCTCAGTAGGAGAGAGGCCAATAAGAGCCTGGAAATGGGGATATTTTTCAGTCACCATTTTCGACCGATAGACCAGCAGCCAGCTTTAGCGCTTTATGAAATATTTGACAGAAATAGGGAGTACAAAAGCAGCATAAATTTTAACCGGAGACCCCCATGGTAACACGGGACACATAGAAACGTGTCGTATCTTACGTAAGAACTGGAGAGCATCTAGCTCGGGGTAACATAATGGCCGTTAGGAGCTTATCGAACATGTTTCCAACGTAAAAAAGGAAACTTTTCTTTCTTTCTTTCTTTCTTTATTTCTTTTATATTTTCTCTAACATCGATTCGAATTTTTGACTGATTCATTTTCGATCGTGTAGTGCATAAAAATGTTTTCGTCATATTGACATATATTTCATAATATGTATTTGGGTACATAAACTGAGATTTAAAAAGAACTGTTTTGTATGATTAATTAATTGTTTAAAAATATGTGGATTAAGAAGGTTTATTCGGGTGTGGATTATATATTGATTTAAAATATAGTAGCGTTGTTTATTTAAATATTACGTGCTAATAAATATTGTAACATATACATTTCTCTATAATAATATTTATTTAGATGTAAAATGTTAAAT